ATGAAGGAAAACTGAAACCCAACTCCTAAGCGCACCTATCTCATACTCAGCTCAGCAGGATACCTCCAGCAGAGGCCGGCTGTGTGGGAGGAGCTCCAGGCTGCCGACACCAATTCAGAGCAGGAACAGCTGTGACACTACAACACCAAAGCACATTTACCTTGCACACACAGATGCGTGGCAGCTTTGCTGGCTTGACTGACAGAACAGTTTTGTGGTTTGGTTCAGGGTTTTTTTGGTTTTCAATTTTTTTTAATAGGATTTTTGGTGGCTGCTGTAACAAAACCCCCCCTAAGTTTCCCCCTTTATTTTAGGTCTACTTTAAAAATTACCTAGCAACACACAACAGCAGCACAGGCAAATTTTGACTTCCACTGAAGTGACCATATGGCATTTTGCACCAGCAGACACAGATATCATTTTGAGAGTAGCAGAACCACTATCCAGCACACAGAAAGAAGAACTCCAGTGCCGAGCTGTTCTCAGGAAAACACACAACCCCGTGTGGCCACTTATTTGGGGTTTCCAAAGGGAACCCGAGATGATCCGCAGAGCTGTGTTCATGTTTGCATTTGTTCATGCTTACCTATCAAAAGGTAACAGATAACAATGTTGGCTGCTGACATACTAAATGAAGATACAGTGCTAGACATTCTTAAATGGTCAGGCAACCTTATCCTCCCTGTTCTTCTCTTAATTTTAACTAGTCTGGCCAAACCTGCTCATCTTAATTATGAGTAGTGCCTGCTGAGGACAACAAAACCATTAGAGACTAAAGCAATTGTTACCTGGCATCACTACATAGCTGCCAGGGATTATAGGAGACACACTGCAACACAATTTTTCCAAATCTTGTGTTTGTCAAATTCTCTTAATAAGTGCATATACTGGCAGAGGAGTAGAAGCAAGCAAGCATTTAAGGGGAAAAAAATTTACCAAATTACGGCTAAAAGGAAAAATTAAGTTCCTAGAAATAAAAATACTACTTGAGCTAAGCCAATAAGGCGTTCATTTTCCTTTGCAAGTTCATTAAAAATATTTTACATCCATTTCACAACTTTCAAGTTACAAGGTGTAGGGTACCTGAAGTTAGCATCTTACACAGAATGAGGAATGTGAATGCAGTAATATTCCTCTTCTGGGATCAGATTTCAAAAAAGAACAAATGGTGGCAGTTACTAGTGGCCAGGCAATGAACACATGCCAGTGACAATCTGCGATCAAGGGACATTTGTTTCTGTTTTGCTTGGATTGCAGATCTTCACCATATAGAAATTAGATGATTTCTTCAGTATTTAGGGAATGATGAGCATGTCTGAAAGCATTTAAACAGAAGACACAAAAGTTTTCATCTGTACAGCTTCAGCAAGGTCTGAATTCAAAGATACTAAAATTTGTAAACACTTCGTAAAACTAATAAAATTGTTCATTTGCAAGCTATTACATTCCTAGATACAAGACACAATAGCACCAAGTGGGATTTATATATATATATATATATATACACACACATTATATTTTTTGCAAAATTTCGTGCATTGTGAGACAGTAGTCCAAGTCATTACGATAATCCTGTATGAAATAGCAACTAAGTCCTGTATTTTTTAATACAGCCCCTTCCTCTCTATGACACTCCCATTTCAAGTTGAGAAACCTGCAGCACCAGAATAGCTGGCTCATCACTGATTTTCATAATTACCCATTTTACAAATGTTGTCATTGAAGCAACAGAAATATCTTTCAATGTTTAGATTTTTACTTTCAATGACTGTGTTCATGCTGAGCAACTTGAAAAAAATGTCCAAGTAATGGTGTTATTTTCTCCATTCAGAACTCACATGACAGGTTACACAGATGTGAAGTCCTGAGCATTTTGTCATGAACAGCTAAAAAGTACAAAACTGTTGAAGGAACAAGAGAATAACCTTTAACCCTCATTATCTCTTTCACCTAGAAATAATGATGTATAGATGTGACTTCACAAAGAAAACTTAAGAAACCTGACAGATGAAAAGCATCTGAAAATGCTGCACTTGGCACTGGAAGCTAGAGTTAAAATTCCACTAGATAGTTCTGCCAGGTTCTGGAAACTCTGAGGTCACCTATCAGAGAAACAGATTTAGAAAAGTCTGCTGTAAACAAGATATCATTAAACCAGCACAGCTAGCACAGAGTTAAGTAGGATCAGTACAGCTCTACTACTTTAACATAAGTCAGGATACCATTGTGCTACATACAATGCAAACAAATATAAACTTATGCAAGGAGTTAAGAGAACCACTAAGATTTTAGAGATGTTTAAATAGGCATACTTCTCTTAAGACTCATTTTTTATTTCAAAAATACTTAAAATTGTTTTAAAGTAGCAAAAATGTTCACATGCAAAGCCTAAGAGACTTTCTCATATCTACTCTTAACTTCTCATATCTTAGTTTTAAGATTACAGAAAATCAGCATAAGCTTTGTATTACATAAAAATTCTTATATATAATAGTAATGACCTCACTAGTTTGAGGATGTTTTCTATCTTGCAAAACCTAAGGGGGAATCTAGTTTCACACAAAACTTCCTATACTGTGCATAGTCCAATTTTCTTTAACTAAAAATTAAAAGCCAACAGTATTCCTAAGGAATTGTGAAACTCACTAATACACAGCTTCTGAAGTGTTTGCAATTCTGCTTTACAGAACTTCGCACAATGCTCCCCATTCCCTCCTGTAAGGTTCCTTACCTGTCATTTTTGCAGCAGGTGCCAAGTTAGGCCAGTCTCCTAACCTCCTCTTCCAAAATAATGACAGCAGAACTGATTATCTTTGTGGGGCTAAAATCTCTGAAGCCGTAAGACTGTGCTGGGGGAAGGGCAGGGCAAGACGTGGTCACACAGTCTTTATTAACAACAACTCATTCACTCCAACAGCTTTCATCTTTGACATGCTTCATTTGAAAACATAAAATTTAACAATACTACCCAGTACATAAATCTACATTGAAATGAAACCTAGTAAGGAAAGATTCAAATATCTAAGCATGTAGTAGGGTTTCACTGTTAATTTATTCATATAAAGTCTAATAATTTCAAGTTTTGCTTAGATGACAGAATCATGGACATGTTAATATCAGAAGGGATCTCTAGAGATCACCTGGTCCAACTCCTCAGCTTAGGCAGGGCCACCTAGAGCCAGTGCCCAGGACTACATCCAGATGGCTTGTGGCATCTCCAAGAATGGAGACTCCACAACCTCTCTGGGCAGCTTGTGCCAGTGTTTGGTCACCCCTCACAGTAAAAATGTTTCCTGATGGTCAGAAATAACCCCCTGTGTTTTGTGTGTACCCATTATCTCTGGTCCTGTCAAAAGATCTGTGATTCTTTGTGCAATTGAGTAATTTCCTTCCTGCACTAACTCTACTGGTGACAACTTCCATCACAGATTACTCTATAACAAATGCAGAATATCAACTTCTGGTTTCCACCATAATAAAATCATATTTGGTAGGAAACAGAAAATCTTACATTAGATTTTAAATACACAGGAAATGGAATCTGTATTTCAAGACAAAGACAACAAACAGCATTAATAAACTGCAGGGTATCCTACAAATGTTCTACCCTGTACTGGTTGTACTGACATAGACTTACCTGTTTCTGATAACACCCACAAAGCAATGTTGAATAAAGGAACCATTTCTCTATTTGCTACTCTCTGCCTGGCAAGCTGGGACTCAAACTTGGCTCTTTGTCCTTTCCTTGCACAACTGGACATATTGCTGATGCTGCATTATCAGGATTTATTTCAGCTTTATAGCACCATAGAATGCTGTAAATTCAATGTACAGCATTCCTTATTTTAGGAGAAGTCACTACTACCTGCAAGAAAAAAACTATTCTTCCTACCCAAAATGAAGTAGCTTTCTAAGTTAATATCAAACACTTTTAAAAAGTTTAAGCTCAGCTGTCATATGTAGAGCAAAGTGAACACCTACTAACTTGTGACAAAGAGGACTGAAAAGCACTATATTATAAATAATTTCAAGTCCGAATAACAGATTAGGCATCTTAGTGAGTGTTAGGAATACTATTAACCATTCCACCATATATCCCCCATAAAGTCACTCCAGTTGGTTACCATTTCCTCCAACTGAGAGCAAAGTAAAGACCTCAGTGATGACATTCCTTTGCATAGGACTAGGCCAAGACCACAGTGTAAGAAGTGAGGAACTCCGTTTTGATATCATCTTATATACAAAGGCAGTAACTTGGCATCATATTCAAAACTAAATATTTTTAATCAAAGAGACTGATTGCTGGTACTGTTTTTCATCATAACTCATTCAGATTTCAAGATGCAAGCTTGCACTATAATTCTCACATTAAAAATACTAATTTACAAACAAGCTATCAAAATTATCTTGGGTGCCAAGTTTGTAAATATCAACACATTAATGAGAAAATGGTTACACACAGAGACTAAAACGCAAAAGCTGTTACTTCAGTTACCTGTTTGTGTCTTTTGATGTACACAAGTAAAAAACATCCATTCTAATACACTACAAACATTACTTGCAATGTCTTGAAAAAGAAACTCCACTTAAGCAAGCAGCAGCTTCTCCAAAGAAGTCTGCATTTCAAACTGAAGTTCTGCATCCTGATGCATCCATTTCTTTGAAAGATTAACAGAACATGTACTTGTTATCAGATTCTTTCACACTACTTTTTACAGACCACCTTCAAAGCAGTTTGCTTTCCTATTCTGCTCAATATTGTTCTGGTCTTCTTATAACTTTACTTCCATCTTATTTAACAACTTTTACACTTTCTTTCAATCTGGACTCTGCAAAATCTCGTATCTGATCAGCACCTGACTGATGAGTATGCCCTGACAGCGTATATTTATGCCTAAAGTTTGAAGGACTCTAGTTTACATCAGCTGTGAAAGCTAAAATAAATGCAGATGTCCAAACAGTTTAAAGATGAACCTCAGAAAATGGAGGTAGAACAAAATCCAAGTATCTTTATTACCAACTTAGGGAATTAGAACAAAATCCAAAAGATTAATTTTCTGAAACACACCCGCAATTATTAAAGGAATTTGTCTCATTGACAGTACAAATGTAACTAGTTTGTATTTTCTGTATTTTCTTAAGTGTCTACTCAAACTTGCTCAGATCAATACCTCATTGAGAACACAACTTTCATTAATGAAAAGTAATACGTGGAAGTGCACTGTAATGACTGAACAGGTATAAACTAAGCTGACTGCAGCTGATAGGAGCAAATGGTGATTTAAGCACCCCATGATGGCACCACTCTCAACCCACAACTGCGATGGCTGTCACTACCTGAGAGAATTTGCTAAGCAGAAAAGATGACTTTGAAAAAGCATCTGTGCAGCCATAAATGAACTTCATTAACTGAGGCACATGAAGCAACTGCTGAAACAACCAAAGGCACTACTATATTCCAAGTCCTGGGAAGGCTGTGACAATCATACAGATGTACATATACCAACTCAGCAGACAAACTTGCCTAAGATGCTGACTCTTCAGCCATTCAGATTTATCACTGTGGCAAGATAACTAGTTCTTCATAAACTTAAATCCTGATAATCCTGTTCTTGGTTTGTCACAATCAAGGATGACATTTTCCTGCCATAAGAGCAGGACCAGATTTGGCAGTACCTGTTTCCAAGCAGGAGCTCTCTAAACTTGTGACAGAAGTCCTCTACTGGGAGCACTGGTACTTAAGTTATACATATTTGAACTTCAGTCCTTTCCCAGGAAATTTTGTCCTGTATATTTAGCATTTCCCTGCATGCCATTAATTTCACCTCTATTCCTTGAAGGTTATGTAGTCAAGAAGTAAAGATACAAGAACATACACCTAACTCCCCAATAACATTACTCTTCTCAACTTAATAAAACACAGGCTTACAGAATTACTTTTTTAAATTAAAGCATGTATTTTATTTGAATGTTTACACTGAATTAGTTTTCTTTATAGCAGAACTCTGAAACAACATATAAGAATTTTAGATGAAGTTTATAAGAGTCGTATTTGGGGTTTTTAATTCTATGGTAGTTCCCAAATTATTAAAAGCTGCAAAGTGAAAGATGAGATAAAGCCACATTTTCCTGCTCTTCCACAATAGTATCTCCCCCATCTGTAAATCCATGAAGAGCAGAGCACTTATCTACTTTTAACTTTCTGTATTAGTATTTGCACACATCTGTGAGTTCAGAAAGAGTAACTATCTATTAAGTTCTCATGTACTCTCTGCCACTTCATTATTGTGTAATTACACAAAAGAGAAGTTATGAAATGAAATTAGTCCAGAACAAAAATTTTTGCCCCCGTTAGAAAGAGACATAAATCCTTTTTAAAGGCACAACAGTTTAAGAATACATACATGATATACACTTAGAAAACACATATGAAGAGGTATGTAACAACATGTCAAATCACAGAAAGAACTGGTTTTTACTGTGCATCTGACATCTTTCCCTTGCTTTAAACCATTTCCAAGTTTAGCGTTAGAACCCCCAAATAAAGTTTCATACAGCTCATATCTTCCACATCATCAGGAAAACATAAAGCCTTTTACAACAAAAGAAAACCTAAAGTAAAGAAAAGGAAACAAAATTCTAAAAGGAATGTATTAGGATAACCAGAGCAGGCCAGTGACAAGTATCAAATATCAAAAATTTGGCCCCCTGGATCCTACAGTCAGTATGTCACCTTACATCCTCACATCACTTCTAAAGCTTGACAGAAGCTTGCACAATTTTCAATATATTGTAGTTTAAGGTTAGAGTTAAGACACCATGTCCTCAGTGTCTAACCAGTAAATGATTTAGAGCTCAAGTAAGACCTCTAGTGAAATCGTTTTCCCACATGCTTTAAAGGTACATCATTTGGCTTCCTTCACACTGGACAGTTTTAAACATACATGACAGTTTAAAAAAACCAGTAGATTTTTAAGCAATCATATAAAGTAGATTCTACAACACCAGTTTTCCCACACAGGACTTCAAAACCAAGCAACATACAAATAATCAATCCTTTACCCTCCTCCATATATATCTAGATGAAAACTTTCAAACCAGTATTTCTGTGATTACCACAGCAACAAAGCAGAAATGCAAGTTCAGCATCAAGGTTCTTGGCACCGAGTTTTAAGACATTGTTATGCTCAATATGTATCAGCTTTTATCCAACCAGTCTTAAAGGCACAGCAACACACCACCAGTAAACACCAACACTTGAAGTACCCTATTTCTGCTATTTATACTACACGCCATGATCTTCAGCAAAGTAAATGTGCCGAAACAAACCAATTCTATTTTTACAATTTATCAATGAACTTAAAACTGGATGAAATATGATAAATTATATTTCTTTTTAAATCTTTGTAACAAATGGGCCCAATGTAAAGAGTAAAAAATGCATGTCCAGGAACATAATGGAACTGGAAACAAGAGTATGATTGCTTCACAAATCTGTGTTTCCTCCATCCCCACCGCACCCCCAGGGGACTGGCTAATTCAGTACTTAAAAAGTACGAAACTCGAACAAATTATTTTTCCTTATGTGTAATGCAACTTGGGGAGTTAAGAGTACTGTTCAGAGCAAACATCGAGACATTTGTGTTTAATTTACTGTCTTGTAAACACACTTAGGATTAAAACCAGACAGTAATAAAACTAAAGGAAACATTATTCAAGGTTTTGTTTTTAACCTTGAATAATGATCCTTAAGTGTGCTGTAAGCAGGGAAAAGTCTAGAATAATCATGCAGAAAGTATACCAAGTGATTTTATTCTCCTGAGTCAGCTGTCATTTTAGAAACAGTAAGAAGCATCCAGGACTTCCATTTACTTTCTTAATAACCACTTTTTCATAACTTGCTACTTTTCCCCCACAAAAAGTAGAAAAAAGTGGGGAAACTTCCAGAACATCCAGAGTAAATACAAGTCAGAAAACAAGCTTATCAATGAAAAACCTTCCTAAACAAATTACATAATACTAAACAAATGCTCTGGTACTCCCCATCTATAGACAGTTCTATTAATCAGTGTGAATAATATATAAAACTACACAAGTGTGATGCACGAAAAATGTCAAACATGGATTAAGTGGTATTACAAAAACTAAACAAAAACATGGCAATAATAAACTGACACAGAGCCTAAAATAATTTCAGACATACAGCCATCCCTGCTGCCAAGTTGACAATTTTCACTTTCAAACCAGCAATTCAATAGATGGCAATTCTTCCATACATTTTCTTTCAAAAGTCTTGAACATTCAGTTTTTGAATTGCAGTAATTGCACTCTTCACACACCAAGGCAAAAACTTTATTTGTATGATTTGGCACAGCTCTGCTTCTGAAAATGTCAGATGTGGAACTGGTACTGGTACAATGCTAAGTTCTAGAAGCACAATGTTCCACACTGAAACAAAACTGAAGATGAACTATTGTTTCATTATTACAGGTGTGTCTTCTGGGAAAAGCTTTTTATTTGAAGTTGATTAAAACTGCAGCTGTGGCTTACCTTTCACATGCTCTCTCCCTTAAAAGCAGAACATAATATAGGGAACACAGGGCTATCATGTCAAAGGATGAAGAATGTTAGCATTTTAAAAGACCATTTCTCCCATCTTTGTAATGGCAGTTTTTATATTTTCTTCCAAGAGAAAGTACATGTGAATAGTCTTCCTTCTTTTTAAAGCAACTGTGTATATCATCTCTCCTGGAGAAATCATGGAGAACACTATTTTCCATTTTTTTACTGGCTTGCATGTAACCTTCTTGGTAACTGCAGAAAGTGAACAGACAGATCAAGCTCACATAAAATTTGTTTTAGCATTTTAGTGGACATTTTTTTTCTTCACAGCTTTAAACACTCACCCTCTTGGCCCAACTCTCATAAAGAATGTAACCATAACCATGTTATTCAGACATCTAAAGCCCTCAACACACTTCTTACCCGTTTGTTCTAGGCTATGTATTTCTTCCAAACTCACTTAATGAGAATATTTATTGAACTACTTTCTGTGTCTGCAGCACAAATTACCCTATGTATGCACAGGTATGAAGAGTCTTGCTCTACTGCCCCTTCTTGCTTTTCTTTCCTTCCACACTGAAATGAGCAGAACCGATAATTCTCACTCAGTCTCCTTTACCTGGGTCTCCTGCTCACAGCCTGGGGACACAGAGGGAGCAGGACCAAGCAGCAAGGAGGGCAAAAGGCATCTACTGGATTATTTTAAATATGCACACAAATATCTCAAATTCCCACTAGCATACAAATATTTTAAACATTTGTAAGCAGCCTGGAAGATCAATTCAGCTGGCAGGTCAAAGACTGTGTTCTACACTACTGCAATAGCTGGTTTATGCAGTGTTTTTTCATGTAATTTTACACTATATAAAAATATTGTCAACTCAGTAACAATAAATAAATTTAGTAGAATAAATCCTTTTATAACAAATAACGAATAGTAATGGAACTTTTTCTTTAAAAATAGCAACACTTTAAAATGACCAGAACATCAAGTGCTAACAGGCAAAAAAATTACAGAAAACTGTTTTGTTTTTTACATCTTTTTATATTTATTTTCTTTTCCACCTTGCTTAAGTACGGGAAAAGTGGGAAAACACATTGTGCTTGGGGTTGGGCTGTACACCGAGGTATTTAGGGTTTGGGGATTTCTTTGGGAGAGGTGTTTTGGTTTTGTAGGGTACTTTTTTCTTTCTTTCTTTATCTTTAACTGATAATAAAATTAGTTTCCCTGTCACAGAAAAAAGTTCATTACAGTGAATTAAGGCAAAAATATTAATGAAAATACCTAAATCCCATCCCATCACTACTAATAGATATGCAGTATTTCATTTTCCTTTACCATGGTCTTCTGTTTGGTGCTTCTCTGTCTATGATGCACTCAGGTTTAAGACTGGATTCTCACTGGCTTGATGAGAGGCTAACAACCTTAAAACCAGTTGTTACATACTTACATGGTGTGTGTACACTGTATACAGTTGCTGTATTCAGCCACAATATGCAGTCCTACACATCAACTTCATAAAAACAACACAGAAGAATTAGATCCAACTGCAGTGATCCCACCCTACAACCCAAGAATTTTAAAGTATTTTTAAAACATTAATTCATTTTGGTTTTTCTGCTATTCTTTGACCATCTGCACAAAACTAAATTCAGTTCAAAAAATCCAAGACATGAATGTAACTGGTATTTCCACCTCTTCTATTAAAAATTAGTTGGTTTGTGGTTTTCATGTAGAACAAGACTTAAAAGTTATTTCTGTAAATCTGCTGTAGATATAAAATTAAACCACACTTTTCTTTACGTTTTATTTTATTACGTTACTTTATTCCCTCTCTCCCATTTTATTTTTCAATTTACATACAGGACCCTCCACACTTATTCCTGTTCAAGGATCTACGCAGTTTTTACTTAAAGTCAAGAACATTATCTTTATTCTCACTGCCATTCTTTCAAGTCCAGCACTTAACGTCCCGCATACAATTAGCATGTAATTCAATCAAATTATACAGCTATGCTTTACTCTACAGAAATTGAGACATAAAAGCACACTAGTAAATCTAGGAACAACGGAAGCTCTAGACAAATCATTCACCCAAACAAATGGAAAAACTTTATCCACATGTGTATGTAGTAACACAATCCAGTTCCTTTTGAATCCCATACCTCTTGTTATGAGCATTTTATTCTCCACCCAAGGGACCACATACAAATCACTTGAATTTTTACCCACGTTTACAAAGTTGCTTTTTTTCTTTCAATGTGACTTGGGTGTATAATCATCTTTACATTAGAGCAGAAGGTTTTTTTAATAGTTTTACCTGTAAGTATGCTGTGCTTATCTCTGAATAGTTTTCCGAATAGCTCCTTCAATTAGTAAAAAAGCGCTGCCGTTCCAACCAGAAGAAACTTCTCACACTGCTTTTAAAAGTCAGGCTGAGGTCATTAATAAGGATGCCTCCAAAATTGCACTTATATTAACTTTCAGAATATCTTAAGGAAGTTCAAGATGGAAAAGACCTATTAAAATCTATCCCACTGAATATGAACACATTGAGGGTTTGTTTCCATGCATTTAAAAACATTAAAAGTACTGTTTTCATTAAAATTTAATGTTCAGTTTATTTATTCTACAAGTAATATTTTAGACAATTTTATAACTAGCTTCAGTATTTCATGGATTACTGTGAAAACACACCTGAAATGCCTACAGCTAAGATTTTTAAAATACTTCATGGGGAAGCACCCAAAACTATCAACAAAACACTAAACGGGTGAGATTGCTAAAACTACTTTACAGTATATTTGGAAAGGTAACAAAAGGTAACATAAAAACAACGGAATGGGAAAAATTATATCTGACACTAGGTATTCCAAATTTTTAGTCAATCCTTTTATTGTTACTAAGTTCTTACATTTCAGTAAGTGAATTTTTAAGAAAGCAAATGCTTTCAGGTTACTACAGTTCAACATTTGCCACCAAATTAGCACTGAATAGCCAATAATCTAAAGTAGTAATGTCTAACCTCTGCATTTCTCATAGGACATACTCACTCCCTCCTTACCACTGATGAGTCAGGAAAGTTTGAGCTGATATTCCCTCATGGCAGGAGTGAGCTAACAGGCCATGGAAAGCACCAAACTCCATCTTAATAACAACACAGTGCCCATATTAATAATTTGAGGGCTCCTGAGAAGACAATCAAGATTGCATTGCAAGTATGCACTCTCTGAAGTCCCCCACTCCCGGCCACAAGCACGAGCTGAGAAAAGATGCTGCGTGCAGACTCAAACTACCCATGGATATGCAACACTTCAAGTCTCAGGAGTGGGATTTAGAACCCCTTCACATCCATGGTCCAACATAAACTGACTCTAGTTGCTACCCTGCATTCTGTGCTAATTTAGTTGTTCGATTATGCTTTAGTTTGACTTAGGAAGGGAAAAATCATGATCCAACTTCTTATAAAAAATAGATAAATTAGGAAGTACACAAAAAATTTGTTTCTGCAACATACTTAAGTAAAATGAACTTCATGCCACCAGAGCACACCAGACAATTGCTGAACATCTCACCTCCGATCATATTTTCTCCCTTCAAAAAGGCCTACAGGGTTTTGGTTTTAATTTGAGAATCTACCTTTAGATTGGTTATTTTAGCATTTTTGAGCCAAGTTATCTCAAGGTAGATTGCAACTGTTTAGCAAGACACAGTTCATAAATGTCACTGTGTTTGTGTTTAGTACCTTTCAAAGTATTTGCAGTTACAAGTTACTCTATATCTGAAATCAAGAGTGGAAAAGAGGGAAATTAATTTGGTGAATGTGGCAGCATACTTTATATCAGAATGCTCCTCAAAGAATGGAGCTATACTATAAAATCCTACTGGCTTATGCTTAAAATTAAATTATTTATTTAGTTCATACTGTCTTCTTGCCATCTATTTTAAATTTTATTCTGGTAAAAATCTCCAGCTTATTATATCTTTATGTACAATTGCATTAAAAAAAAATGTGACCAACAAATAAAACAACTGCAAGTCAGGAATTTTCTTTCTAGGTAATCCACAGTAGTTCGTGATTCTCTTAGGAAATTAATACAGTAAAGTACATTAGGATTGCCACGAAGTTTCCCAAGATATCAATGTGCTTTATCTAATGAACACATTGGTCAGAACAGTATATAACTTAAAAGGAATAGTAAAGCTTTGTTATCTGTAAGTACTGTATCTGTAAGTAATTGTATCTCACTGGAAAATTATGTAGTTTAGGAATATGAAACTTCAGGAATAGTGTAAAAGCTCAGTAAGTACATTATAAAAGTAAGTGCACTGTAGTTGGCAGATTCACATATATTCCAAGCCTACTTGTTTTAGCATAGCTTATAGCAGAGTGTCAGGAATTCACTGTACTTTCCAGTCAAACAGCACAAATGTAGTTAAAAATTTGAGTACCTGTGTATACAGAAAAAATGATAAACTGCTCCACCAGATGAGGATCAAAAAAAATTAACCACTTTAGCAGAAGGGCAGAACCTTCATGCAAAAACACTGGTTGGCCACATCTACACATTTTTAAGAAAAAATTTGGGACCATTCCTTTTTCAATAAAATTAGGTGTTTATTGTATAGCTAGGATCAGTTACTACCACATTTGGCAAAATGAGAAGCACTGCCTTTAGAGTCAAGCTAAGCAGCCCAAAGAAAACTTTAAAGAGCTGAACATGGCAGCATGTCATCAGCATCATAAAAGGCATTCTTCGTTAACTCCTTACAATCTGCCCCAAAAAAACTTTTCAGTATTTTTTTGTTAGGACGTGGTTCACAGACATTTAAAAATAGATTAAATTATTTTCTGCAGTAAGGACAGCTGACAAATCCACTGCTACCATGCAGCAGAGCCATCGAAGTCAGAGGTTTACAGGAAGGGCAGGTCACAACTGTGGAATGACAATCACTAATGTTAAATAAAATCTACAATAACTTTCAAATACATGCATACCTCCACTTGCTACCAACAACCACAGTGCAACAAACATGTACTTAAAATAGCATGAAGCTGGCACAGAAAGTATGAACGACTTCTGTAGATTCAGTATATTTAATGTTCTTCAGAAACATACTCAGATATTATAAGGAGGAGGGTTTACATAGCTAAACAAATATACAGGAGCTAGCTAAAAGGCCTGAACAACACAGACTTTTCCTTTAAAGAAAATTAACCAACCTTTTGAATCCAGTTTAATTAGTACTT